CCAAGATCCAATGAGGTTGAGGAACTTGTCCTAAAATAACACCCAATCAGGACCAAACAAAAATAACAAAATAATACTTAATAAAACAAAATTTAAAATGATTAATAAAAGAGAAATAATTGGTAAAATACACAAAGTATAAAACCACTAAATAAAAATCCTAAAAAATATTCAGAGGACAAATATGAGTCCATAAGTGTTGACAAAAATTTTCAGAATTTTTTAAAGTCAGAAACTGTTTTTAAAATTTAAAGAAATTAGAAAAATAAACCAAAATTTGTGAAAAATAGTAAAATCAGAAATAAAAATAAAATGAGGTCATCAGTATTTGTCAAGAGGTCATTGGATCCTTCAAAATTTTTTCCAGAATTTAAAAATTAAGAAAAGTATTTTTAAGCAATTAAAACAAGTAAAATAAAGTGAAAAATCATAAAAAACATTAAATCAAAAAATAAAATTGTGAAAAATAAGAATCAGAAAGAGAAAAATCAAAAGTATTTTTGAGAATTTTTTCAGATTTTTAGAAGTTAAAATGATTTTTTAATAAATTTTTGAAGTTTAAAAAAATAAAATAAAAAATCAGAAAATAAAAATAATGTCAAAATAATGTCGACCATCTGATCATAGTCAAAGCGCGTTAGTAAACAAATCCAAAGGATCTGGCGCGTTGTGCGGAAAATTTCTTTAAACCACAACTCAGTCGATTTGAGAAAAACCAAAGAGTTTTGAAATTTTTTTAAATTGAAAATAGACGTATCAAATGCCTCAATTGATCAAAATTAAACCATCACCAATCATCATTGAACAACATAGATCATTCCAGTAATTTGAGTTAGAAGATTTGGTGTGTTATACTACCTGAATGAAGTTAGATGAATTTTCTCTGAAACTGGACTTAGCTAGCACGATTCAAGGCACCTCAAAGCTTGTTTCTTCTTCTGTTAGCTTCGGTGAAGTTAAAGGATGAAGAATTAATCAAGAAATCAGAGCTGGAAGCGCTTTAAAGTTGAATTCAAAGTTGCAGAATTGAGAGGTATGAATGAAGTTCAACAAGGGTTCTTTGGCTCTCTAAAGCTTGTAAATAAGTGGGATATCATCCTCTATTTATAGGGAAGTGAATGATGATGAGAAACGAGAGGAATTATGGGCAAATCGTGCAAACCAAGCGAGTTGTGATCATGCCAAACGTGTGACTTAAAATGCCTCGAAATGACCTCATGTCAAGTGCAATTCTTGTCAAAACACATATGGGCAATTAGTTAAACATGTTTAGCAAATAAATCTTGAGTAATTTAACACGTAATCCAAGTTTACTTGTGGTAAAAAAAATTTACTTGAAGCAAAAACAGATTCCATGGAGCCAACTTCAACAATACATAACTCACTACTCAGGGACCTTTATGGGATGGTTCTTGAAGAATTTGAAAGACAGGGTTACAATATTTACAATGTTTAAAGAAAGACATTATTTGGATGCTTGAGCAAAAAGTTATGTCCAATTGAATTTGTGAAAAACACACGGATATTTTGTACTTAGAAAAATTCTAAGTGTTAAACTTCAAAATGACCTATAATGTTCTTCAAAATTATGTGACTTTCTACTCAAAATTTGATCATGATTTCTTAAGATAACATGAATTAGACAGCTTGAATTGAAGTGTAGAATTGACAACACTCAAAACTCATAAAAATTGAAAGAGTTATGGTATTTGGAAGATGATGAACAAATTTGGGGGAATTCACAAAAGACCTATAATCTTTTTAATTCTTAAACCACTTTCCGAGAATTCTCAAGTATTGTACATAAAAACAAAGTTATAGTAGACATCCCACAGATTATTGTGGAAAAATAATGGCTCAAGGAGATAAACATTGACCAAGTTATGATTATTTGAAGTCAAACCATAAAATTCAAAGGCCTTTCAAGGAGACTTGTAATCTTTCTCAACGTTTAGTGATCTTCCATTCAAAATCAGCCTTAGACTTCTGAATAGAGATTGTTAAGGACCATTTAAAAAGAATCATGGTTTTGGAACCAATAAAAAATCTCAAACATTGAGCAAGATATGGTCCTTAGAAGTCAATAAACCCTAGCTCAGAGAGTGTCAAAGTGACTTGAAACCCCTTTCAACTTTTGATGATTATTCTTACATAATTGGATCTTGTCATATGAAGAGAGGTTGTTGTTTATGATGATAGGAATCCATATCAAAAACAACCAACTCAAACTGTTTAAAATTAAGAGAGTTATGCACTTGTGATCACTGAATCTAGTATTTGCTCAATTAGGTCAAACTTGTTGAGCCAACCTTGAATCTCTTTGAACTTTCTTGGCAAAATAGAGAATGGTGAATCATAAGAGGCCTTAAAATGATATTGTCTTGAAGCACACTTAAATATGGAGCTTAAGTCTCAGTGAAGCTTGTTAAAAAAGACATGGAAATAAACACATGAACCTATGAATCTTCTTGATGAATTCCACCACCAGCTTTGAGGAGATCATGACCTAAATAAAGTGAGAGGCTCCTTAAACCACAGACCTTTGATGCCATAGAAATGAACTTTAAGATCAAGCTCTTTTAATCCATTAGAGAACCATTTGATTGAGAATCACCCCTAAAATCCTAGATTAGATGGTGAGATGCATGCAATTGTGATCACCTATAATAAGAACATTCAAAGAAACATATATAAACATATTGATGTTAGTTAATAGAACATATGTAAAAGATACACATTTCAAGGTGCTTGGTAATCCCTCAAGAGAAAACTTAAAGATAGGATAAAGAGAGAAGCAACCCTAATGTGTGTGTCTTGATGCATTGTAACATGAGATGATGAGAAATTTTAGGGGGGAAAATCGGGATATAATAGCTGCCCTTATTTAAGTGTCTTCTATCCGTATATAAGAAGGTTAAAATCTTAGTCTCGACGCGATTGAATATACTTAAATACAAAACAAACCCTATTTTTGGCCCTTAGATGCTATGAAATTCTAATGATCATAAATGAAAACAAACAACTCCAAAGGTGTCACATAACATCACTGGGTAAATAAAAGATAAAATAATAGATCAAAAAGAGAGTCCAACCATGAAAATAAATCACTGGAGGAGAGAAGACTCGACTCTACTGGGGTAAATGCCAAAGATGTGATAGGGTATCGCTTACTCAATAAATGGGGAAAAAGCAATGGATGACAACGATTGACAGATAATTGTTAACTACACACTCCTAGAGGGGATAACAAAAAGAGAGTAACTTCCTCTCACAGGGGATAAAAAATTAACGACCTAAAGGATGCAAATAAACGCGGTAAGATAATACCGGTAAATACCAATATTAGGATTGGTAACAAATGATTGGCATCAGTACTTAAAACTGGAAACATGTCAACTCTTTTAGAGAAAAATGAATCTCAATAATGAAGTATCTCCCAAAATGACGAGACTACCATCCATCAGAGTAAAACATCTCAACAACGAACTATCTCCCATAATGAAGAGACTACCATCCATCAGAGTAAAACCTCCACAACGAACTATCTACCTTAATGAAGAGACTACCATCCATCAGAGTAAAACCTCAACAACAAACTATCTCCCTAAACAAAGAGACTACCATCCATCAGAGTAAAACCTCAACAACGAACTATCTCATTTAACAAAGAGACTACCATCTATCAGAGTAAAACCTCAACAATAAACTATCTACCATAATGAAGAGACTACCATCCATCAGAATAAAACCTCAACAACAAACTATCCCCCATAATGAAGAGACTACCACCCATCGAAGTAAAACCTCAACAACGAACTATCTCCCATAATGAAGAGACTACCATCCATTAGATTACAAATCTTCTATGGCATGTTAGCCTTTTTGACGCGTTCCAGTATGACAAAAAGGTGTCCCCTTACTTTATCTTTGAGATATATCAGCATCTTTACCGCAAAGTATTTATAATGATGCGACAAAATATTTTGTGCTCCCTATCTTCACCTACAGTCATTAGACAAATTTGACAAAATATTCAACCAATAATAACTTTGCAAGTGGTACTTTACATATCTATCCTAATTCACTCTATGCTCCCTATCTTCACCTACAGTCATTAGACAAATTTGACAAAATATTCAACCAATAATAACTTTGCAAGTGGTACTTTACATATCTATCCTAATTCACTCTGCAGAAACCATATTTCATACAACAATAATCCTAACATCTATTATGCAAAAACCAAAACCCACATCATAACCCTCATTCTCCCAAAAGACGCAAAACCTTACCATGGAACCGAACTCACCAGTATATAATATTAGATTTTAGTTACTCCAAATAAAGTCTAATTGATGAAGAAACAAAAAAAACTTACATGTGAGTAATTCCAATATTGAGGAAGAAAGTGGTATGCTAACTTTGTGGTTGATTCATGTGCTCAATAGAATTAATTGCACAAATTGTAAAATTAGAGACGTAAAACACACAGTTAAAAAATATAATTTAATAGAATATGGGGGAGATAATACTAAAAGAACTAAAAAACAGAATAAAATGCCCCAGCAGGGGTTGAAGTCGGGTCCTTAAGTTATTAGTGGTATGCTTTGCCAACCGAACTATGTTATTTATCTGTTATTACTATATTTTAATTAAAACAAAAGGTGAATATCGATAATGTGATTGGGTCAACGGGCCCATTGGGGCTGACCCGGTTTAGAAGAGAATAAGGAAAAGTTTGAAAATCCTAAATAAAGAGGCGCCACTGTTGTCTTGTTATTGGGAAGGAAAATTCAGATTTAATTATTATTTATGATAACTCTCCTTTCTATGTTACTGTAAAACAAAAATCAAAACACCCTCTTCGCTATCAAAATCTCTATCCATTCTACACTCTTCATTTTCCACCAGTCTTCACCATTACGAGGAATTACCAACAATAAACTCTCTAAACTCACTCTTCTCTCTAAACTTCAATCTTTATCTTCCTCACCCTATAAATGATTCTTTATCCATTGTCGCACACCTTCAAACATCTTCATCCTCACCTTTCTCCATCACTCTGCAATTTCGAACCCATCGCTCTTATCTCTCTGTTCTCGCTCGCACCAGAAGCACTAAGTCTGAGCGTTCCGCCGAAGTCTCTGTCTCAGATCATCGTTGTTGTCGAGGTAGGTTATACAGTGGTTGAAGTTTGGGGTTTAAACGACGGAGAGAAGATTGGAGAACGGAAGTTTGGTCGTAGTTGTTGTTTGTTTGGAGATTTACTGTTGTTGTGTGAAAGAAGTAAGAGGTTGTTGCTTTTCCAGACATGTAGTTGGTTCTTGTTTATACGGTAAGTACCAGGGATATGAAACAAACTTTTCCCCAAAAAGTTTTAGGACCTTCCTATTTAGACTGATAGCTGGAAATTTGTATAACCGTCAGTAAATAATTGTGTTTGTTCAGTGGTCCAGAACAGGGAAGGAGATGGATGTTCACTTAACCCTTCTTTTTGAACGTATTTTGCATACAACTTTTAACACCACGAACTCCTTTAAACACACATCACACTCAATGTCTAGAACCTTAGCTGCAATACAACTCTCATATGCTTTTTCCTGAGAAGTACTATTCACTAAAATACGTTTGAGATATGAGTTAGTATTCTTTTCCTTCATGTTCACATCATGTTAAGAATTGTTCATATTCGTTCTTCAACAGAATTAATCGCAGATCAGGAATTTTGTTTTTCTATTAGAATGAATGACAAACTACCATACATACAGTGCTGCAGAGTTCCAGTACCTACCAGTCGTATTGTGTTGTGGTCATTGCAGATTCAAAGGTGAAGGTTTAACAAATATATAATTTCTAATTTTCTGTAGTTTCTATTATTTCAATTCTGTTTTTTTCTTTTTGTGTCATTGCAGGTGGATGTGAGAAGGCATGTATTTGGTGTTGGTGGAAGCTTGCGGAAATCCGATGGCAGGGATTTACGAGCAGAGTTTGAGCTTGATGGTTGTGAGGGATGACAGTGATGAATACGAAGGGAGGTGAGTGAAGTTTGGTTGTCTGGACAGGTGATGTGGGGGCTGTTTAGGTAGGGGTTCATTCAATTCACATTAGAGGTTTATTTGGTTATAGTTTCTGGTTAAAACAAGTTATAATTTTTGGTGTTAATACGTTTTGTTTTAATGAAACAAATTATAACTTATATTAACAGGTTTTAGATTTGGTGTTGACAGGTTATAGCATATATAACATTTATTCTGTTTTTATTATAACAGGTTGCAAAAACCAGTGATCCAAGCATGAAAATTACTATGCAAATAAATCTAGCAGACATGGATGTACATGTGAAAGAGTTGTACAAAAGTAATAGAGAGGAAGAAAAATACCTATTGGAGTCTCTCCGTTGGAGCTTCAAAACAATAAGTTTTCCCTCTTTTCTGTTTTGTTGATGCTTAATTCTTGTTGTGATTCTTTGTTTTTACTCTTGAACAAGTTTCCCTCTTTTCTGTTTTTCCTCTCCTTGAGTTTCTGTTTTTCCTCTCCTTGAGTTTTTCTTGTGTAATTTTTTGTCCATGAAGATGGCTTTTATAGAGAAAGAACAAGGCATTTAGGGGGAAAAATAGTAGAATATTTGAATGGTTTTGAAAAACTGTTTTGATGCCTTTTTTCATATAATTTTAAGTTGTCATTTGATGCAATTTCTTGGTTGTTATGATGCAAGGCAGCAGTGTGTAGCAGACTGGTCTAGGCTGATTTTTTAGCAGTTTTTGGACTGTTACAAGCTGCTATTTTTTGGACTGGTTTATGGCATTTTCTGGCAGAATCTGGACTGTTATGGGTTGTTGTTTTGGACAACAAGATACCACAAAAATTGGACTGTTATTGTAGGGGGTTGCAATATGATATTGGACATAAAACAATAAAACAAAGACAATAGTAATAATAATGATAAAAGACAATTTGTTAGTAATACAAAAATAAAATAATAATAATAATAATAAAAAAAATATGATGTAAACGAAATTAATTTTATTTTGATTTTAATATTAATTCAATTTTAAAAACTGAATTAAAATTAGAATCAAATTATCATTAATATTGGATTAAAAGAAGCTAAAACTATAACGACTAAAAAAACTGTAAAATACAGGAAAAATATATTAACTATATTTTTGTGATTTTTTTTTTGGATTAAAATTTATACTAAAACATAAATCTAAATGAAACCAATAAAACTATAATAATTTTTGATATTTTTTGAATTAAGAATTGCGAAGTTGAAATACTATAATGCTAATTATAAATATTTTTGTAATTTTTCTAATAATGCGATAGTAAAAAGTAGGGGTGTTCGTGGTCCAGTTTGGATCGGTTTTGAGACAAAATATCATCCGATCCAAAAATATATAAAGCATACGGTTTGGTTCGGTTTTTGGATGACAACAAGAAAATCCAATCCAATCCAATCCAATTTATACGGTTTACTTCGGTTTGGTTGAATCGGTTTTATTCGGTTTTTAAACCAACACTATTTAGAAATTTAAAAAGAATATATTTCAATACCAGTTACAATTATGCCACCAACGTCTACTGAGACAATATCTAATTGCTATGTTCATATGGCTATTTGATGTCATTATTGCAAAGTTTCATTATAATATATGTATAATATCTATCCCAACGAAATAGACATGGCTATAATATATAATATATATGGAGATATGCTTAGTTCTTATATGGAGATTTGTATTATAAATTAAATATATGACAAATATATAAAACAGTGAACAAATGAAGATTCCAAAGCTATATTAAAGCGAATATAATAATAAAACTTCAAGAAAAATATCAATAACAGTGGACATGCGAAAGTTGCATCACAAGGAATATATAATAATAATATGACAAACTGCATTATATATAGAGAGAAGATCTGCTTTACATATGACAGCATAATTGATAGTTTCAAAATCAGAGCCTGCAACATAATTGATAGTCAAATAACAAATTTTCTAATTATCCTGCAATAGCTCCACTCCAGCTTCACAATTCTACCCAATTCTTTTAGAATGCGGATATCAACAGCTAATCAGAGTCTATATCAGATACACCTTCATTCAATTGAGGGATTGGAGCAAGTTCTACAAAAATAAAGATAAATATTACTCAATATAAAAGATTAACAATGCTCAACAAAAAATAATATAAGTTATAAGTAAATTACCTAATTCCAAATTTTCTAACTCATCCACAAGCTCTTCAATATCCACCGACACCTAGGAAGATTTACACCAATTTTGTGTACAAATTAAAGCTTCAACTGTTTTTGGCGTAAGAGAGCTTCTATAACAAGTAAGCACTCTTCCTCCGGTAGAGAAAGCGGACTTTGAAGCTACAGTAGACACAGGCATGGCCAATATATCTCTAGCCATTTGACCAAGAATAGGATACTTGTTAGAATTCACCTTCCACCAGTTCAAGATATCAAAACCAGGACCTTTCTTCTCCAAATTCTCCATGAGATACAAATCCAATTCATTTTTCTGCATGCTCTCATTAAGATTCATGTCCATCTCAACCTCTAAAGCAAATACATCCTCTGGTGCTTTAAGTTCTACCAATTCCACTTCTTGAGTGGAATGTGTAAGATTTTCAGTTTGACCGTTACCAAGGAAAAGCCTATAACTCTCAAATATTTTATTTAATGTCTCCTCTGTTTTTTTGTACAAAGATACAGCAACATCATTTGTATATGCCCTGTTCAATCCCCACCTAACAAACTGCATCTTATGTCGAGGATCAAGCACAATAGCAACAAAGATCAACATATTCATTTTTTCAACCTTACCCCAATATTCATCATACTTAACTTTCATATTTTCAGCCATAATTCCAAGCAAGTTGTCAGAACTTTTTAATTCTATCCACCCGTTTAATGTAGTCAATATCTTAATATGTTCATTAAAATATTGAGAAGAGGTCACAAAAGTACTACCTGAAACCTTCTTTGTGATATCAAAAAATATTTTCAAAAAATTAACAAAGCATTTTGCATTATCCCAATCCTCTTTATTAGGAATACCATCTTTCATCAGCACAAAATCAACACACTTCTCACTCAATCTCTTAAATTCCTTTTGAAACTTCAATGCACTTTCAAGCATAATATATGTGGAATTCCACCTAGTGGAAACATCCAACTGAACAATTGATTTTTCTTGTAACCTAACTTCTTTAATGCAAGTTTTAAACCTATCCATACGACCTGGAGATGCACGAACATATCTAACAGCATTCCTAATCTTACTAATTGAAGAATGATAGTCTTCTAGTCCATCTTGGACCACAAGATTCAGAATATGTGCACAACAGCGAACATGCATATGTTCCCCTTTCAATGGATGAGAATTCTAATCGTTCATTGTATTTTTCAAGTAAGTTATAGCAACATCGTTAGAACTAGCATTATCAACCGTAATGGTGAAAACATTACCTATTAGCCATTCCTCCAAACATTTTTCAATTTTTTTGCCGATGGTCCTCCTTTGTGATTCACAATTGGACAAAAATTCAGAATCCTTTTATGGATTTTCCAATCATGATCAATGAAATGTGCAGTGAGACAAAGATAACTCAAATTTTGCACAAATGTCCAACAATCAATTGTAAGACAAACACATTGCTTTGATTTATTTAGTACACTTTTTAACTTATGTTTCTCACTCGTTTATAAATCCAAACAATCTCTAGCAATTGTAATCCTTTTAGAAATTGAGAGTTTAGGTTGCACAACACTCATAAAATGAAGAAACCCCTCTCCCTCAACAAACTTAAAAGGCAACTCATCAACAATAATCATCCTAGATAAAGCTTTCCTACATGCCTCAGCATCAAAATGAACACCAGTGAGAACACTACCAGATCCATTCCCATCTTCTTTTTTCAATTATTGAAGTACAAGTGTCTATTGAGTGGGATCAAGAGACTCTTTTGGAAACTTCTTACACTGATGCAACAAATGGTGTTTCAAATTACTAGTGCCATTTCTTTGTGAATCAGCAGCATATGTTAAATCACACCAATTACACTTAGCTCTTGATCCTATTTTTGTAAAATGTTCCCAAGTCCAAGATCTAGGTTTAATAGGTTTTATGTTACCTGAATCTCCAGCTACAACATTAGGATCATTGGATGTGACCAATTTTGAAGCTTCTCCAATCTTTCTTTTCTTATTAGCATTTTCTTCATCATTGTTTGTTTCATTACTTTGTACCAATGGAGGTGGAGCTTCAGTTGTTTCACCCTATAAAATACACATGAAAAAATAAATTTTTGAACATCAACTATAATATTACACCATTGTAACAGTAACCAACATTTCTAAAGTTAAAAATCTCTACTTAAAATTAATTTTTGATACCTGAATAAGGTTGTTAACAATATCAGATTGAGTAATAGGACCAGTTTGGCTCATTCCTGTAAAAATAGACCAAACTTAAAATTAGAACAAAGTATAAACAACTAGTTGTAGAAAAAGCTAATAAAAATATATTATGAAAAAATTATGAAACAAAATATGAAAAACTAACAAAGAACGAACCTTGAAGAAATTATGAAAAACTAACTAAAATCTGTTACTGTTATAACCAAGTAACCAACATGAAACGATTTCACATAAGAAAACTAATGAAAATAATTTTTAGTAAGCTACTGTTATAAAATTGAAAACATAAGTAAATTAATTTTAAATAAGCTTTCAACAACACAAATTAGAACAGCTTTACAAAAGGATAAAAATTTGAATAGCTTTAGAAAATCTGATCGAACAAAACTACAAAGTACAAAAAAGATAAAATCAAACAAATTAAGAAGCTTGCTTACTGATAGTATAATTCAGAAAACTAATTGAGATGAATGTCTATTTAGCATTATTGAATTTCTTGCTTGCGATATTGAATTTCTTGCGGTTAAAACAATGAATAGCATTCTTTGTATTTAATTTTAAGATAATTTAGAATCT